GCGATTCCAGTTATTCCTATAGTTACTCCCCCCAATTGCAATGGTTCCTCCGACATCAGCACCGACTGCGTCACAACTGGGAAACAATGCGCTGCAATAGTCTGCCCAAAACAATGGATGAACAGCGCTCCATCCAGGTTCGCGACAAAAACCTAGGCGGCGGAGCAAGCGAATTGGCATTCTGCAAGCAGCGGCAAGAAAGTGCCATCCGCAAGAATGCTGGTAGTAAGAGCGCATGGCAAGTGTGGCAGTACGCTTTCGAACCACTCCGCGTCTTGCACCGGCGAAACTACACCTGCCTCCTCTTCGGCCAGATTGCGCAGCCATCTGTCCGCAGCCCCGCCGCGGGCGGCATCCATGCATCCGTCTGCCAGCCCCACTGTCGGCAGATCCCTGCCCTGCAACCTGCATCGCGTTCCTATTCCCATGGCCCTGGGTTTTGGAATATCACGTCACACTGGCATCGTGACCAAGCACTGGCTACCTCCCCTGCCAGCCCCTTACAATGGGCAGCGGCGCCACCTGCCGTCGCCCGTCGCATGAGATGGGCGGCGCGATGTGGGACGAGGCGCCGCGGGTGGCCCCAGCGGGCGCCGATGCAAGAAGCGATTCGGGCGGGGGCTCGGTGATACCATGTATTCTCACGCCCCATAGCCTCGCCAACGCCCTGATGGGGCCCCCCTCGACGCGCGGCCCCCAGCAGGCGTCAGAATTGCGCCGCCCATTGCCAAATATTGCCGCCGTCGCCCGAGGCAGCACACTAGCAGGCGGAGCTAAGGCAGCGCCCCCCCTTGCAGCCCAAGCCGCCCGCTGCCTGTCTGAACGAAGGCGGTGCGATTTAAAGAAGCGGGGCTGCGGCGTGCTGGCATGCGAATAACCACTGCCATGCATGATGCGGGCCCTGGTTCTCCGTCCATTGAGAAGCTCCTGCATCCGCAATCGCCCGCGCAAGAAACTCTCCCCCTGCAGGGCACGCGCCCTGTAGCTGGCCCAATCTCGTTCTGGCCGCCGCCCCGCTGGCGCGACCCCGAGCGGGGAACCCGCGGCAATCACATCACGCACGCGTCGATCACATTCCCACGCGCGGTCGGCAGCACGCACTGCGAGACGGAGCTCCGTCGGCAGATGGCGGCATAGCTGGCGCTGCTGCGGGATCCCGGTAGAGAGACGGGCCGCGAGGGATCTCGCAGGGCCCGGAGGGCCCCGGCGCGCAGGCAGAGGCGGAGGGCGCAACTCGCGCTGCGACCATATAGCGATCACGGTCCGGCTCCGATAGGTCGATGTCCCGACCCACCCGGCGTCGCGCAACCACGAGAGGCTCCGAGATAGCGACGTAGACCCTTCGTTTAGCCTTCAATTGTCGAAAGCGAGCACCCCAGCCCCCCAGATGGTAGACCCGAGGCATGTAGCACAAAAGACGGGCCTACACTGCTGGTACCTGAGCGTCGCAATCGCGTTTCCATCGCGCCCATCATAAGGCACGGCCACATGGCACATCCCCCAGAGGTTGCATCACCCTGCCCGCGGCGTAGAGGCCAGCAGGTCGGAGCTCCATCCGGTGCCCCTGGAAAGCTCCAGGGCCCACATTAAGCACATTTGCAATAGCGACCGACCGCCCGATTTGTCCAACCGCAGGGGTCGCAGCAATAGCTGCGGGCCAAAAACGGATCACGAGTGGCTCCTTGGGGCGCCCGGGGTGCGCTGGAGACCCACCGGGCCCCCCGCGGCAAAACCTTCCTCGCGTCCGCTGGAACGCACGCTACCCAAAGAAGTGTCATCGCAGCTGCATGGCTCGCCTGGTCAAACAATTCCCCCATGTTGTTTCAAGGAGAGGCGGCATGATATGCCTAACGTTTGACCTAGCAAGGGCGTCCACACATTCGCTCCAGGGGCGCGCCACGCGACCCCGCGCGCGCGCGCTGGAGGGCGACCACGCACACGCGCGCAGCCACTGCGCAATACTGTCCAAGAGCTGTTCGGCAGACTCGAGCGCTCCGCGCACACACCCCCTTGCAAGATGCAAGCCCAGGGTGGAACGCTGGTCCCTCCTCCTCCTCCTCCTCCTCCTCCTCCTCCTCCTCCTCCTCCTCCTCCTCCTCCTCCTCCTCCTCCTCCTCCTCCTCCTCCTCCGGTTTGCGGGCATAATGAACTGCGGTTTGCACCAGCCGCGCCGTCGCCAAAACGGCTGCTTCCACGGCGGGCCCGACGCGCGCCGGCCAGGAAGAGGGCCCGCCGCGCGGCCAAGGAAAGCGACAGCTACGGATCTCGCCAGCACTGCAGCGCCGGCGCACACCCCTGCCCCCGATACTTGCAACCTCCTGGCGCAGCATCTGCACGCACAGTGTTCCATAACTGAGGGGTGGCCACGTCATCCTCCTCGTGACCTCTGGCCGCGGTGTCAACATGCACGCGACGCCTGCTCAACCCTCTCCGGTCTTGGCCTGCTTAAAAGGGACCTGTCCGCTGGGGCGTCTCGGCAACTTGTATCTGGCCCCGCCCA